ATTGGGAGGGATGGCAATATTTTTGACCCCTGTCAAGTCACATGTCTGGTGATTTAAAGGTTTCCTCAACACCTGCTGTTAGATTCCTAAGTTGGAATGTTAAAGGTCTGAACAATCCAGTGAAACGGTCTAAAATATTTTCTCATATGAAACGCCTGAACCCAGACATAATATTCCTACAGGAAACACATTTGCAAAATTCAAATCAAGTCAGGCTCAAATATCCATGGATTGGGGAGATTTATCATTCGAGCTTCAACTCAAAAGCTAGAGGAGTTGCCATAATATTTAATAAGAATATTCATTTTACAGCATCAAGAATAATGAAGGATATAAATGGCAGATTTCTTATAATTGCAGGCTCCTTGTTCCACACTCCTGTTTTATTAGTAAACATTTATGCACCAAACTTTGATAAACCAGATTTTATAAACAATCTAGTTAGCACACTTCCATATCTTGATACTCATTTGTTAATTCTAGCTGGAGACCTGAATTGTGTAATGAATCCATCATTAGATCGCTCCTCATCTCGGTCCTATACACAGTCTAATATGTCTAAATCTATTTTGGATTTTGTGTCCCAAAATGGATATGTAGATCCATGGAGGACACGGAATCCACTAACAAGGACCTATTCTTTTTACTCTCAAATACACCAATCCTATTCCCGTATAGATTATTTTTTTGTTGATAGCTCTTTAATGCAGAGAGTCATGTCTTCTGAATACTATCCGATTGTTATTTCAGACCATTCTCCTCTAAGCATTGATATAAATTTTATAAACAAACCCAATTCTAGTCCTCGTTGGAGATTTAATACTCTTCTGTTATCAGATGAGCCATTTAATAAATTCATCTTATCATCAATTGATGATTTTCTAAGGTTCAATAAGAGCGATACAATTTCTCCCTCACTACTATGGGAAACATTAAAAGCTTATCTTCGGGGTCAGATTATTTCTTTTTCAGCTAATATTAATAAAAATCTACGCACTAAGATATCAGAAATATCAACAAAAATTCAGAATATTGATAGGCAAAATGCCGTTAATCCGTCACATGATTTGCTGAAACAGCGACAGGATCTTCAGATGGAACTTGATCTTTTAACTACATCTGATGCGGAGCGACTCTTGATACGATCTCGAGCCACTTATTATGAACATGGGGAAAAACCAAGTAGACTTCTGGCACATCAATTGAAACGAAAAGCCGGCTCTCACATAATATCACAAATCAACGATCGGTCGGGCAATCTTGTTTCAGATCCTGTCTCTATTAATGATACTTTTAAAAAATTCTACTGCAATTTGTATAAGTCTGAACTACAAGCAGACTCAAATGAGCTATGTGCCTTTCTTCAGGATATTGACATACCTAGGATAGACAAATTGCTTTCTGACCAACTTGAAGCTCCCATTAAATTAGAAGAAATATTTGCGTCAATTAAGGATATGCAAAGTGGTAAAACACCTGGCTCAGATGGTTTCTCTGCCGAATTTTTCAAAAAATTTAAAGATAAAATAGCCCCTCTTCTTCTTGAGGTTTATAATGAGTCATTTGGGCAGGGCTTGTTGCCTCCCACCTTGACTCAGGCCTCAATTTCTCTCCTGTTAAAGAAGGATAAGGATCCTACTGCCTGCGAGTCCTATAGACCTCTTTCACTTTTGAATGTGGATTTTAAGATTTTGTCTAAAGTACTCGCGACTCGGCTTGAGACAGTTCTCCCTCGGATTATTTCACAAGAACAGAATGGATTCATTAAAGGTCGCCAGTTGTTTTTTAATACTCGTACACTGTTGAATACAATTTTTTCAACTCATTCCTCTAAATCTCCTGAAGTGATAATTTCTCTTGATGCCGAGAAAGCTTTTGATCGAGTGGAATGGGAATATCTCTTTGCTGTTCTTAATGGGTTTGGTTTTGGAGAGAGGTTTGTGTCTTGGATCAAGCTACTTTATACATCCCCTCAAGCATGTATTCTCAGTAATTCCGTCCAATCTGATTATTTTACGGTGGGACGTGGTACTAGACAGGGTTGCCCTCTCTCTCCCCTCTTGTTTGCGTTAGCCATTGAACCCCTTTCCGTTGCTCTAAGATCCCTTTCTTCTTTTCATGGAATCGTCCGCTCTGGTGTCGAGCTTAAATTGTCCTTATATGCAGATGACCTTCTCCTGTATGTCTCTGACCCTTTACGGAGTCTTCCCCCAATTTTAAATATTCTAGAAAAATTTGGATCATATTCTGGCTATAAAATTAACTCACTTAAAAGTGAATGCTATCCAGTGAATTCATTAGCTTTAAAGCTTAAGCCTTCTGATATCCCTTTTAGGCTCAGTCCCTCGGGATTTAGGTACTTAGGAATTAATAGTACTTTGCCCTCAATGTTTTCTCAGAATTATGCCTCACTAGTTTCCCAAATTGCATCAGATTTACAGAGATGGAACTCTCTCCCTCTTTCATTGATTGGTAGGATTAATATTATCAAAATGAATGTGCTACCTAGACTTTTGTTTTTATATCAAAATATCCCTCTGTTCT